GCGTTGCCCCCTGGTTCTGTTGGGATCCACCGAAAGAGGGCGCTCGAAGGAGACTGTGCTTCCTCCAGTCAAACTGGGTAGTGATAGCTTATTTCAGAAATTGCAGTTAACCCACGGTTACTTCTTCCCCTCTCAGACATCAGCATCAACCAGCTGGTACCCAGTCTCAAGAGGATGGGATCCCAGTCCCGTGGGGGCCCCTTGTCTTTGGTCTATAATACTAGCGCCACCCCACCCTTCTCCTCTACGGTTGAGACATGGCTTGGTGGGGCTCCTACTTCAAGACGCTTGCTGTAAATGTGGCAAAGGAGGACACAAGGAGGGCATAAATAAAAGAGGCACTAAAAGAGCGATGAGAGAGACCCTGATAGCCATTCCCAGATACATGCGGGTTAGAATTTACTGATGGGAAGACTTCCTATATGTCTAGTCTGGAGTGGGAGAGATGGCTTAAGGGGCAATTTATTCTGCCTCTCCTCTACACCCCACCTCTAAGCAATCAGCCCAGAGGAAGACATGGTTCTCTAGCTAGGTTTTAGAGCAAGTCATTAAGTCTGCCATGTTCTACAGATCCTTGAAGTAGTTGAAGATGATCTATTTATGTAGAATACAATCTCTATGTATCTAAAGAACCTAATTAATCTGAATATATATATATATATATATATATATATATATATATATCAAGCATAAGTGACTATTGGCCTATAATACTTAATACCTGTATAACTTAAAGACTAAGACTTTATATCAGAATATTAAACAGTCTTTAAACAGATGTTCAGTAAAGGAAAACAATGACCTCAAAATGTAAACAATGTATAAGTATCTTGATCAGAGGTAGAAATGTATATTGCAATATGATAAATACATCCTAAAAATTGTATCAATATACAAAATGTCTTAAACAGAGGTAGAAACATGCATGTATACAACCTGACAAAATAACTTTGTATAGGTGTATAAATATTGTAGACAGAAATAACAGATATAATTTGAACTTGTATCAATATACAAGAAACTATACCAATGTAAATCATCCATAAATAATAGCTCACAATTATTTACTCTATTATTCACTGTTATTATTATTAGTGTGAGTAAGCTCACACTAAATTATGAACTCCAAATTCTCATCTAACAAACTGAGATCCAGATCGCCTAGTTGGATCCCAAGATATAATGGTTCTTTCCACCACTCACAGATGCAAATTTTTGAAATGCAAAAACTGTTGAAATCTGGACATTGAAAGAATTCTGGATATTTAGTTTCTTCAGAATTTGGAATAATGTTTTCACTTTTAATTTTCATGTTTATCCTCATTAAATGAAAGCCATTGCCCTCCTCAGTATGAAGCTAGGAACTGACTAAAATAAAAAGTGTAGAGTGGAAAAATTGCCATTGAATATCCTATGTCAGCAGAGTGCCTGGAACTTGGAACTGATCCTTAGAGCAAATCATTCTTAATGGTTTCCTCCCTGGAAGTTGCATGATTTTGATAAGGATGAGTCAGGAGCCTGTAAACACTATCTCATCTATGATTCAATCATGGGTGATATTTTAGCTTTGCTCATTTGAGTGCTTAGTTAGGGGTTCTGTTTCCATGAAGAGACACCATGACCGCAGCAACTTTTATAAAGGAAAAGTTCAATTGGGTGGCTTACAGTTTCAGAGGTTTAAACCATTGCTGTCATTGTGCAACATGGTGACATGCTGGTAGGCAGTGCTGGAGAAGGAACTGAGTGTTTTACATCTTGGTCTAGAGGCAACAGGAAGTGAACTGTGAGACTGGAGGTAGCTTGCACATAGGAGACCTCAAAGCCCACCCACACAGAGACACACTTCCTCCAACAAGGCCATACCTGCTAATAGTGCCGCTACCTTTGGGGGCCGTTTTCTTTCAAACCACCACAAATACTTAAAGGCTATTTTAAAGGAAAAACTTATTTTGCTTAGGTGGCAACAGCAGTAAAGGGAAAAAAAGGATTTCCCCATGCTATTTTTAAAATCGATCTGTGGCTACTCATTTCTTGTTGCACAAACTGTTCTGCTAGTCCCATTATGTCAGGGGTCATATATCATCTTTTCATTAAAATAGATTTAAAATTGAAAAGTAAAAACAAAGCGTCACACTTGTCAAACTGTGCCTTTCGGGAAACTTGCAAGGAGAAAACACAGTAAATTTGACTAATGTTTTGAGCCATTGAAGTGAAATAATAGAATAATGAGCTACACGAAAACATCTTACCCCCCCCCCCTTTTTTTTTAAATTTCCAAGTGTCTTTTGAGTTTCCCTGTTGTTTACTTAAAGTCTTGGTCTAGCTAGCAGGCAGTCTGGATGGGAGCCTAGGCAGTTTGGATGCTCAACTTACTAGACCTGGATGGAGGTGGGGGTTCCTTGGACTTCCCACAGGACAGGGAACCCTGATTGCTTTTCGGGCTGGGGGGGGGGGACTTAGTTGGGGGAGGGGGAGGGAAATGGGAGGCAGTGGTGGGGAAGAGACAGAAATCTTTAATAAATAAATAAATTAAAAAAAAAGAAAATGATTGTACAACATACTCACACTTATGGGGCACAATGAAAGCTGTGCTAGCAGATCATAGCATGAAATTCCTGCATAAATAAATCAGAGAATTCTCATACCAAAAAAAAAAATTTTCCAGCCGCACGACTCTGAGCCCGTCAGTTTCTTCATATGTTCATTAGGGATAAAAGTGGTACCTCTACCCCTACGGAAAAGCAAAAGGCAGAGATGATAGCCTTGTAGTCTACAGAAGTTTCATGAGTGTTGAAATAAGACTACGGAAAGCATTTGATACATATGCAGAAGCAATGTGGTAACGGCTCATCACATGTTCATTAAGTGTGATTTGCTGATCAATGGCAGTTGAAGTTGGGATCTGGGGTAAGACAGTTCTAGCATCCAGCTCTTAAAAAGGTTTTCTTTTGGGGCTGGAGAGATGGCTCAGAGGTTAAGAGCATTGCCTGCTCTTCCAAAGGTCCTGAGTTCAATTCCCAGCAACCACATGGTGGCTCACAACCATCTGTAATGAGGTCTGGTGCTCTCTTCTGGCCTGCAGGCATACATGTAGACAGAACACTGTATACATAATAAATAAATAAAATCTCAAAAATAGAAAAGAAAAAATGTTTTCTTTTGCATTTATTATTTATTTTAAAGATTTATTTATTTTTCTTTTTTATTTTCTTTCTTTATTCTGTCTGTCTCTGTCTCTGTCTCTGTCGCTCTCTCTCTTTCTGTCCTGGAACTCATTCTGTAGATCAGACTGGTCTAGAACTAAGAGACATTCATCTGCCTCTGCTTTATGAGTGTTGGGACTAAAGGCACGAACTAACACACCTTGTTTAAAGATCTATTTCTTAGTGTGTGTGTGTGTGTGTGTGTGTGTTTGTGTGTGTGTGTTGCATGGGGGTAGGTGTACATAAATACATGGCTTGAGGAGGTTAGAGGAATTGGGTTCCCTGGAGCTGGAGCTAAAGAAAGTTGTCAGCTACTTGATATGGGTGCTAGAAACTGAGCTCTGGTTCTCTCCTTAACTGCTGAGCTATCTCTCCAGCCCATTTATCTATCTATCTATTGATCTATCTATGTATCTATGTATCTATCTATCTCATCTATTTATGTATCTATGTATCTATGAATCCATCCATCCATCCATCCATCCATCCATTTATATGTGATTGCTTATGGGAGCGCACACACAGTGTGTGTGTACATGTCTCTGTGTATAAACGTGTATCCTGATGTGTGAAGGCCAGAGGACTTGGTGGAGCCAGTTCTCTCCTTTTACTATGAGGGTTCCTGAGGCTGAACTCAGGCCCTTGCCTGGCATAAGCGCATTCTTGCCTGCTGAGCCATCTCCCTGGCACCCAGGAATAGCTTGTCAGCCAATGACTCTGTGTGGCATTTTGTCCTTTACTGGACCTCTGCTTTAGTTCTGAGTAATATACAGTAACAGTACCAGGCTCACTGCGTTGTCACAAGCAAAGCACTTACCACATCCTTTCCCACCATCTGACCACAAGCGGCCACAAAAAGTTTCAAGAGAAAACAGTACGTTCTCTCTAGGGAGCAAGGAAAACATCCAACAAAATGAAGCCAACCACACACAATGAACCGGTGATGATACATGCAGATAAGGCAACTCTCGCATCCATGCCCATTTATGTTTTCCCTAGTGTGGATGTGGAGGAATTTTCAATGAGAGCCTTTTTCTGGTGTTTGCTCAAGTCAGCAGATCTCACAAGCCCAACTAAAATTCAGGCCGATTAAAGACGCTACAAAAACTGCAAAAGTCACAAGCTATTCTGTAGTTCAGAAATTAGGATAAAACAAACCTTCTGGATCTGTTCCAAGGATGGGTATCACTCTCTCACCGGAGGTAAGGCAAGAGGATGAAATATCCTGGATTGGGACGGAAATCTCAACCAAAGCTCTTCTTCGCAGCATCAGGTTCTCCACCACCTCCTAGTGGGAGATTTTCCTCAAGTTTGATCCCTGAGTGGGGCTCCAGGCACAGAAGGCGCCTCAGCAGCCAGCAGAGTGATCTCCAGTACTCAGACAGTTAAACCTCTTCCGAGGAGGAGACGGAGAAGTGAACAGAAGGGAGGGAGGGGAGAAGAGAGCAGAGAGGAGGGAAGCGAGAGGAGGGAGAGAGGACGCAGAGCTGGAAAGGAGGGAGCACGGAGGAGGGAGAAGGAGAGCCCCGCCCACTGGTACAGGGCTGCCCCCCCCACCCTTGCCCCCGCCCCCGCCCCACGGCGGGCCCCGGGCCGCACCTGCCGCGCGCACACGCCCCCCGCGCGCCGAGCCTCCGTCGCCGCCCTCCGCTCGCACCCGCGGCGGCTCGCTAGCACAGCCCAGCCTCGGCGCGGGCCGCAGCCACCACAGCCGCCGCCGCCGTCGCCATCGCCGCTGCCGCGGAACCGCCGAGCCCGCCCGGTGCGGAACCCAGGCGAGTCCAGGCTGGGCACTCGGGCGGGCGGGCGGGCGCACGAGTCTTCGCCGCGGTCGCTCTAACGCTCCAGCCCCCCCGGAGGACGCGCTCGACTGTTCCTGCGGCCGCTCGTCCGCGCTCAGGGTTCTCCTTGGTGCGGAGCATTCTTCCCAGTGCGGAGCATCGTCCTTCTGGGCGCCCGAGCATCCTGCTCAGAGCTCAGCATCCTCTTCCCTGTGCATCCTCCCTTAGTGCATGCTCGGCATCTTCCTCAGAGCTCAGCGTCCTCCTTTCGTTCCTCAGTGGCACCCGGGGCCCGGTCCCCACCCGCTCGCACCCCACCCCGCGGGAAGGAGGCCTCGGGAATGCAGGGGAGTGGCTGTGGGGGCGCGTCGCCGCTCGGCCAGCCCCTCTACCCAAACACGGGCTGCTCCCCATTGTAGAAGCTGCACCGTGTGACAGACAGGAGGACAGCGTGCAGCTCCCGGCACGGGGCTGCTGCGGGGATCACAGCGTGCTCAAGCCCTGGCATCCTCTTAGGGTGGGGCGGGGAGGGCCCTGGCTTTTGGAGAGTGGACCCAGAGGAGGACCAGAGCACGGAAAGGACTCTGTAAGGGGACTCGTGAGAGACTATGGGGAAGGACCAGGAGCTGCTGGAAGCTGCTCGCACTGGCAATGTGGCTCTGGTGGAGAAACTCCTATCTGGCAGGAAAGGAGGGATCCTGGGTGGTGGATCCGGACCTCTGCCCCTGTCTAATCTGCTAAGGTAAGAATTGGCACCCACTCTGTGTGTGTGTGTGTGTGTGTGTGTGTGTGTGTGTACCCGCGTTAGCGTTGTATGGGTACGTTCTCCCCTCGGGGTATTGCACCTGGAGGTGTCAGCGATTCATTCTTAAATTAGGCAGGAAAACAGACCTTGTGTGTGGAGAGGAAGAGCCTCCCAGCCAGACTGAGGCTTTAGACTCTTTGAGTAATTTTAAAATAGCTAGCTCTCCATCAATGTGTCCATCAGCTACTTTTCTCTGAGCTCTGGTGCAGAACTTGTACGTGTCCTGGTGTTGCTAGAAGAAAATCCCGCATGTCCGGCACTGTTTCCGTTTGCAGCCCTGAAGCCCACCCCTACCATCGGGCTATTTACACTAGAGACTATCTCTCGTGAGATAACTGGCTCACGCAGTTATCCTGCCAAAGCCAGAGCCTCCGCGGGTTGCTGCTACTTTCTCGTGCAGAAGACATTGGCAGTGGGTGATGATCCCACAAAACAAAGACAGTGAACCTTCTGAGGAACTGTCAGTCAGGCAGGGGAGCCTATAAATCTTGAGGCTGGCTAGGCAGCCAGCGTTAGCAGTACTTCCTTTCAGTTATCCTGACTTACCTGAGTGAAACTCAGGATGCAGGGAAGTCTGGCTTGGGAAAGAAAGTATGTGTGGAACCCAGCAGAGGCCTTTAGAAGATGAACATGTGGCAGGTAAGACGGCTGTTGCTTAGAGAATCTTTCTAAGGTGACAGTTAAAAATAAAGTCTGGATCTTTATTCAGCAAATATAAGTTAGAGATAGCTGGTTTCATTTGCATATTTGAGAAACTATTAAAAGTTGAATTAAACGAATGAAATCACTGAGGAGGAAGGAAACCTGAAAAAGCACTCACTAGATGAAATTCAAAGAAAACTCTTTAGTTCTCAGGTCGTGGTTATTCAGTTTGTCCTGCACTGACAGATGGAAGCCTCTGTCATCGTTCATATCTTTACCTTCAAACATCTCTTACGCAACCCAATGATGCTTATTGAAAAATCTTAAAAGCTGAACTGATTTTCTTGCTTAAAAGTATTTTGTATGACTGTTCATAAAAATGAAAAGGATTACATTTATTTGGTGTGTGTGTGTGTGTGTGTGTGTGTGTGTGTGTGTGTGCTGGGCAGTGCATGCCATGTAGCCTATGCAGAAATCAGAGGGCAACTTGTGAGAGTCTGTTCTCTCCTTCACCATGTGGATTCAAGAAATGGTACAGTTCTCAGGTTTGAGAGCAAGCACTTTCACCCTCTGAACCAGGGGTTCTCCACCTCCCTAATGCTGCAATCCTTTAATCCAGGTCCTTCTGTTGTGGTGACCGCCAACCACAAAACTATTTTTGTTGCTACTTCTTAACTGTAATTTTGCTACTGTTTTGAGTTTTAATGTAAATAATATCTATGTTCTCTGATGGTCCTAGGTGACCCCTGTGAGAGGGTCATTCCACTCCCAAAGGGGCCACCCATGTGTTGAGAAATGCTTCTCTGAACCCTTGTGCTGATCTTGATAAGTGTTTGATACAAACTTTTGCATGAAAATGTGTTACGTACATAGGTTCTCATAGGTTGTGATCAGACAGTCCAATAAATTACCATAGTGGTTATAGGGAAAAGGAGAAATTTATGTTACAGTGAAATGAGAGGAAATAAAAAAATAGTGAGATTTAAAGATCCATATACTATTATATATACTTGGTGACAGTGACACCATTGGAATATTTCATTTCAGAATAATGATTATTTATAGAAGTTTTTTCTCTATGTGGGCCTTAGAAAAGATGGCTCTTCTGTGTACTCTCTTTCATTTTCAAACACAAGTAGATATTATACATATTTTCGCCTACGGTTTTAATATTTACCCCTAGATAGTTTATGGAAAAGAAGTTCAGTGACAGTTTTAAGTTATAAGTGAAAAAGTGTGTTTGCAAAGGCACCCAGTCCATCAATTATAAATTTATTCTGATGCTATGCTAAACCAAGTTCCTCAAAATTAGTATCTTTGGAAACATGAGAATTTATTAATAATAAGAAATTTAGTTAATTTTATTGACACAAATGGAGACAAATGGTGCTTTTGAACACTCCTCAGTTGTGTTATTTTTGAAACAAAAATAGATGACACATTTTAGGGATAAAACACCACGTGTTTCATGTTAGTAAATACTTAAGTAGCAAAAGCATGATCCAGAGTGTTCAGCTAGAGTGAGTTTTCTTTATTATGGTTTTGTTGGCTGGTCCTGGTGGCTCTGTAGGAGCACACATTGAAAACAAAGTTTGAATAAAGTTGTAAAACCAGTACCTTTCAGACTTACATTTACCTGTCTCACACTGGATTAGCCACTAAAACAAGCCTTTAAAGAGAATGGAGCGAGTAGTGGCGCAGGCCTTTAATCTCAGCACCCGGGAGGCAGAGGCAGGTGGATCTCTATGAGTTCGAGGCCAGCCTGATTTACAAAGCAAATTCCAGGACAGTTGGACCCCCCCCCCCCTCCCACACACACAGAAAGAGAGAGAGAGAGAGAGAGAGAGAGAGAGAGAATAAAGAAAGGAAATGGGAGTTGAATTTTATTTAGATGATCTTTTGCATAAAATGGAATTTATGTGGCTATCACTTTATTTCACTAATGATTGTCAATCAGAAACTTGTAGGGTAATAAGAGGTGTGTTCTTTTCCAGCAATCACTTTGAATAATGGCACTTTGAAATATCCTAATGTTTTGGGCTGAATTGTGGATTAGGTTAATCAGTCTTTTCTGCCTGCTTTATTCCTTGTGTAGTGTAGCAGTGTGTCTGATTGAGGTAAATGCTTGCATGCCTCATCCCGAGGTCAATACTCATTTCACAGATGAAAGGCTAAAGAGACATTGCAAGATTAATAACTTGTCCAAGGTCACTTAATTAGCAATGACAAGGGTTTGAAACTCCAGTTTGCTTTACTGATCTTCAGTTATATGCCTGAATTTATTTTGCTTCCAAAGTTTAAGGTATATGGTCAATTTAGACAATACAATGATTTTTAGCTGGAAATAAATAATGCATTTTATTTTGCTTAGAAAAAAAATCCATTGACTGCTCGTTTGAGACCTAATTAGATAAAAATTTGCAGAAGATGCTTTTGTTTGTGTGTGGTTTACTACACAAGCTGTGGCTGTGTCGTGGGGGTGTGCTTGAGGGACAGTGCAGTTTTTAGTGCACAGAAGAATGCCCTTAGATGGCTACAAAGAGTCACACTGCAAAATGTGGTGAGCTGGAAAAAGTAACAGTATCTAGGGTTTTGTTAAGGAAAAACTAATAGTAACTAGGGTTTTGTTAAGGAAATAGTAACTAGGGTTTTGTTAAGGAAATAGTAATAGTATCTATCCCTAGGGTTTTGTTAAGGAAATAATAATAGTATCTGCTCCTGGGGTTTTGTTAAGGACTAAATGATGTAAAAAGTAATAAGTGAAAAGCGTTGACTACATAGGTGTTCACCTTTAGTGTTAGGATTCCTCTCATTGCTCTAAGGTACATGAGACTCTGTGGACTTGATTTCTTATTGTAGTACATCACCATAGAAAACTTTTCACTGGGATCAGAATCTTTAAGCACAAAGAGACCTTTAATCTAAGTTCTTACATGGTGTGGGGATTTTCTCTGCAAAATCCTTTTCCAGTTAGTTATCTCCAGCACTATTAACATTTCCAGCGACTAGATTCAGCCCCAGCACTCCCCTGCTTTTGAGGTGAGCTCTTGCTCTTTTTCTCTCTACAGCTGATCTTGAGCTGAGCACTCTCCAGCCTCAACCTCCCCAGTGCTAGATTACAGGTTTGCTCCACTGAGCCTGCCTTCTATTCATTCTGTTCCACTTTTTGATAGCTGTGATCATAAAAAAAATTCTATTTTTTTTTATTGAACTGAAATCCACTTTGCTATAGCTCCTAGCAACTAGTAGTAGCTTGGCTGCATGGGTCAATATAAAAGTGGCTGAATTCATTTGCCAAGACAGTTCTGCAGGGACATGCATTTAACTGTATTGTTTTCTTGGAAATTTGTTCTTTTTCATGGAAGAACCGCTCTTGTCCTTTGCTGTTACAGGACAATGGCACTTAGGTGTTCGAATGCAAACGTGCATATTTTAACCACCTTTTTCTCAAATTCCCAAATGACCTTTTGAAATGTGACGAAGAGGTAAGAAATTGAATAATATGCACCAGGTGTCACTCAGTGGAGCATGGAGTGGGGGCTGATATATTGATGCATAAAAGCCCAACTGATTGTAAAAGAGGATTCATAGTTTGAATCTACTTTTATAAAAAAGTAACGGCAAAGACTTATAGTGTATATTAATATGTAGAAATGGAGACAATGTTCATTTTTGAGTGATGGGACTGTGGGTTGTTTATTTTTTATCTGTGCTTTCATAGATTGTGTAATGAAGATAGGTGGCATTATTAAAATATGGTACAATTAAATTATTATCCCTGTATTACTGCTCTAAGACCCTGCTATAGGTCAAGATTTTCTGAGCCATAAAATTGGTGTTGACTCATATTATTAATGAGAACTTCCAAATATTTTTCCTTTAAAAAACCCGTGAAGCCATAATTTCCCCATCTGGTATTCGTGAAAGTGTTGGTTGAACCTAAGATATCCTTAGTGCGTTTCATCTTGTTTTACCCTGTATTTGCAGCCTATGCCTGTCTTTTTGGCTCTGGAGTCTGTTTATCAGAGTATTAACTTCCCATTCTGCATCAACTGTAGATAAACACACTTTATAACTGGAATCCAACCCTCTGTAAGATATTCCTAAAGAACCTCTTTTTGTCTTATACACTTGAAGGGGCAGCCTTTATGCCTGGTATTCTTGCTTTGGAGTCGATCAATAGACCGATTGTTTCTCTCTGTTATACCAGTAAGAGTATTGTGAAGTATTTATTGTCTAATTAATTTCTAAATTCATTCATAGCCTGTTTATGGCATTCCTTTGAGCCAACCCAT